CTTAATTGTAATTTGTGAAATATTTAGGAAACGTTTCAAACCTTTGATATGACCATAGGGCGAGAAAGGTCGTCCTGGCCCACCCGGACCTGTTGGACCAATGGGACCCTCTGGCGACCGAGTGAGTGTTTTCGCGCTAGATTTTGGCCAACCATAGAGCAGTATTCGTTATCAACGCAACAGGCCCCCATGTGATTGGGGCGATTTAATAAAATAATTTTGGCCATAAAATTATTGAATTTAGCAACAACATTAAAAGATCTTGGATGACGTTTTCTTCAAAACTCTGATAACTGTTTCACCGTTGCGCAAATTTGTTAGTTTTTTTCTAATTTTCTTAACTTACAAGCTTTTAAGCTTTATGATCATCTTTTTTATATATAAAAAAGTGACTGATTGGACAAAATCTTTCACGATTTCAACCAGTGTGATTCCAACAGAAAAGCGGAAGCGGACGGCTCACCCAGATGAGCTAAAGATTCAACGTTTCAATTTATTTGATTAGGGTCCCAATGGACAAATAGGGCTTCCCGGTCCGCCTGGCGATCCTGGCGATCCACTAGTCGACAATGTACCAATCAAGGGTGAGCGCGGTCCCCCTGGTGACCCCGGTGATCCTGGTACTGACTGCGAGACTTCCACACTCCTTCCTCCACCGATCGATACTCAGGGACCTGTGGGGGATCGCGTGAGTCCTAGTTTGATCTGACACATCGTTATCGTTACGTCTTGAAGTAAATAAAGTCATTTCATGGGCATTTTTTAATTTTTTAGGGGGATCCAGGTTTAAAGGGCTTCCCTGGAGTTAAAGGTGATCCCGGAGACAGGGTGAGTAAAAATTGCTTCAGGAAGACCGTTCCTTTGAAAGGCTAAATATTATTCTGCCCTTTCAAATACCTAGGGTGTTACTGGTCCAACGGGAGAACGCGGTGCTAAAGGTCAACCTGGAGTTGCTGGACCTCCTGTAAATTGATTCGTTTTTAGGTCTATTAGTTCTCCAAATCGTGATACCTGTAAACCTTGACCTCTCTGTGTTACGTAGGGTCCCAAAGGTGAAAAAGGACGACAAGGGGCTACCGGCGCGAAGGTGAGTGAAATTGGCATCTTTGAAGGTGGAAAGTTCCTCAATGTCTGTTGAACTCATTGTGAAATCATAGGGTTCTCGTGGTCGTGACGGTCTGATCGGTCCAAGAGGTCCTCCTGGTCCCAAAGGTCTCCCTGGTGAACCTGGAGAAGACGGTCTTCGTGGTCCTCCTGGTGAACCAGGTCCCCCAGGCGTAAGTACAATGCTTTCTTGGTCTATGGTTGGTTATGTTCAGTCCGAGTGGGTCTTCCCAGGTCTTGTTGTAAAAATTTGACTTAAAATGACCCATTAATGGATCACTTTTGAAATCCATGCCTTTTGTATTGTTTCCTCTAGCACTAGCAATGATTTTATCTGAGTTACCTCTGAGGACGTCATCATAACTAAAATTGCGATTGTAGCTCTATTATAAATATACAGGACAGCCGAGGGACCGGAGGTACTGACGACATTAGCAGAGTCCAGTGCCGTCGCGGAAGAGACCAAATCGTTTAAGTCAAGCATAATCCGTTTATAGGGTGATAGCATCTGCACGGGTATTCTCCCCGGCCGACCAGGAGAACGGGGTTCACCCGGCGAACAAGGTCCCCGGGGTCCCCCCGGCCGTGAGGGTTTCCGTGGTGAACCCGGTCCTAAGGGCTTCCGAGGTCCCGCCGGTCTGATCGGTGACACCGGTCCCGACTGTCCGATCGGACCCTCTGGAATTCGTGGACCCAAGGGTGACCCCGGGCCACCTGGAAGGGATGGCCCCAAGGGCTACCAAGGTCCCACTGGAGAGGAGGGTCTTCAAGGAGATCCTGGTGAACCTGGACGAGGCATCCGTGGTCCTCCTGGTGATCCTGGAGAACAAGGTCCTGATGGTCCGAAGGGTGAGTTGAAAAGTCGACTGAAGCGGTAATTTTTGCATGTGATAACATTGCCAATGCCTTTTCTCCTCTGTTCTCCGTACAGGTGTCCGTGGTCCGAAAGGTGTTAAGGGTCCACGCGGTCTCCCCGGAAATATAGGAACTGGGCGTCCAGGACCGCCTGGTGACAAGGGTGAGAAAGGTCTTCCAGGTCTTGATGGAAAACCAGGCAAACCAGGTCCCAAGGGTGAACAAGGTGATTGCTAAGAACCGAGGAATAGCTTGCATGTTTTCATAGTCTAAACTACTTTCTCCTTTTGTAACAAGGTCCTCCCGGTGAACCCTGCAATGTCTGCAAGCCTGGACAACCGGGCCCGCGTGGAGAGAAAGGTGAACCTGGCTATGCTGGAGCGCCAGGTCAGCGTGGACGTGATGGACCACCCGGAGAACGTGGCGAACCTGGATCTGTTGGTAACCAGGGTCCGCAAGGACCTCGTGGCATTGAAGTAAGTGTAGTTCGGCTCCGGATTATTCATTGTCTCCTCTGCCGACATACTTGAAAGTGTTGCCTTCCTCCAGGGTGATCCTGGTGAGCGTGGTCTGATGGGACCAAAGGGTATTAAGGGTGTTCCTGGGGCCTCCCGTGTTGACTATATAGACACCATCAAAGGTGAGAAGGGATACCCCGGTCTTCCTGGTCCTGAAGGTGAGAAAGGCTTCCGGGGGCCTGCTGGCGAACGTGGACAACCTGGCGGACCAGGACCTGTGGGAGAGCCTGTTAGTCAATAAAACTGGCTTCATTTTTCAACCCTTTCTACTCGAATCCTGATCTTCATGTTTTGTACACTACAGGGTGAGCAAGGTGAAGCTGGACCCACTGGAAGTCCAGGTCCGAAGGGCCGTCGTGGTGAGAGAGGTCCCAAGGGCCGACCCGCTGGCATGGTTTTAGGCATCAAGGGTGAAAAGGGCAGACCTGGAATGCCGGGACGTCCTGGACCTCTTGGTGATGCCGGTGACCCTGGAAATTGTACTGTTCTTGTCCAGAGAGGCGAAAACATGACCAGTGAGCAGAACCAGGCAAAAGAGTAGAAAGAAATGCATCCTCAGAATTGATGGAATCATATTTTTGCTTCCTTTTCAGCTGAACGAGGTGAAGTGGGACCAAAGGGTGATCGTGGTGACCGAGGTGTTCCTGGAGAGCCTGGCAAACAGGGCATTCAGGGACCTCCTGGTGATGATGGAAGACGCGGAAGTAAAGGTCAGCCTGGTTCGCCTGGACCTGCAGGTCCGAAAGGACTTATGGGGCCACCTGGTGAGTTTTAATCTGCTTTACATCACTCAAACATTGTCGACCTCTATCAGTGAAAGGTACTTTCGTTTACAGGTGATGTTGGCGAACCTGGCGAACCTGGACCGGAAGGCCGACGCGGATTGCCTGGACCGCCTGGACCGAAAGGAAAAGTTGGTCCTCCTGGAGATGTTGGACCGCGAGGTAAGATAATGAATTGGGATAAGAATGTGTTATAACTTTGAGAGGGACTGGTTGTATGATGCCCTGTTACCATCCAAAGGTCCAAAGGGCTTTAAAGGTCCACCGGGTCGACCAGGGATTGGTATTAAGGGTGCTGAAGGACCTCCAGGCTTCGATGGACCCAAGGGTGAAGCTGGTGAACCTGGACCTACAGGACCGCCAGGTGATGCTGGTGAACCGGGTGAGTGTAACTGCCTCTCCTTGTTAACTTTTTAATAGAGTACTCTATCTGCATCATATACATGTGACCCCAAGAGGTCTCCTTACCTAAGCTTCCACGACACGTAGGAATTATTGCATTTATAATAAGGATGTAGGGAGACATTATTACGGTCAAACAAACCTGAGCCTGTCATACGACTAGCTTCCATCTGACCTGATGACTATCATCAGAGTAAATTGATGCGCGGAACTTGTCCTCAAATCCCATCGGCCCTTGGGAAAGTAATAGGGGCTCTGGTACTGATTCCTGAAGACGCGAGAATGGCAGGTGAAGAGGCTGTTGGAGGGTTGAAAGTGAGAGTTGGAACGGTCTATGTACAGTGTCTAAGGGTGAGTACCTAAGCAGACGACAGAAATACGTTTGATCTCGACACTTTATTTGTTGTCATCAGATCCACCATTTCTTCAGTTGTCTAGATTCTATTTCAGAAGTCGCATTATCCTGAAAGGCAGAGTTGGAACATTTCAAAGAATCCCTACTGAAAAGTTTACGACTAGATAGAATCATTTTAATACGAGGTCTGTATAATGCATTTTTCTCTCTTCCGTCTACCTAAAGGTGACCCCGGAGAACTTGGACTCCCAGGCATTCCTGGACCTACGGGCCCCAAGGGGGATCGGGGTGAACCTGGCCCTAGTGGTGGGCAAGGCATTCCCGGTGCTCGCGGTGATCCTGGCGATCCTGGACCCCTTGGTGAGTCTAAACCACTTTGTACTAACAGAACATGTTCAGACGTTCAGACATTTCCCAATTCTGTCATAAATAATGGTATTGAAGAGATGGGAGATTCTAAATGATCTGGATCTATTCAACTGTAGCAGGTGCCTACGATCATGTGTGCTGGTCTTTAATTATATTGCCTACTTTCCTAGACAGTAGGATTTTTTTCACAATAAAACTTAAGAATGACTGAGATTAGCTGGTACAATACTACTTATTTAATCATAAGGTGATCAAAAAATCTAATACACTTCTTGATATAGGTCGCTACAACTGCGTGGAAATGCATCAGTTCGCTATCGACTCTTTCCACGTTGTTTGGAGAAAAGTTTTTTGGAAACAGCTAGGGCCAGCCAACTCGTCGAAGGAAAGGACATTTCCTTCATATAACTTAGGACTTCCAACACCATAGAGCATTAAATTGGGTAGAGCGGGAGATACCGCCTTATCCTCGTCCTGTGTATTTTCTTGATATTCCTCCAAGCCTCAGCAATAGGCAGTCACATGAATGTGGGATAGAATGGACAGTTGAAGTAGGAGCAGAGGTGGTTGAGGATGGATATTTGTAATTTTGCTACACAGATTGCGTAGCAGAAAAGTGGAAGTGGTACTTTCTGCAGTCATCCAATTTTTGCAACGAAAACAGTCCGGATGTATTAGGCCAACTTACGTCTTTAGTAGACCAGTTGTGTGTCTGAGTCCTGAAGCTTCTTCATTCTGCATTTATCTGATCGGAAGATGTATCAATGAGATTTCATTGAAATTGTTATAAAATGAAATCGATTTACTTATTGGAGCGTCAGAACTGACATAAAGAACTATTATTTTCGATCAGAATGGATTACTTATAATTGTTTCGCTGTCTTCTAGGTCCTCCTGGCGAACCTGGCGAAGCTGGTGATCCCGGAACCTGTGTTGGTATCCCACAAAAGGGTGACAAAGGTGATAAGGGTGATCGAGGTCCCCTTGGACCTATGGGACGTCCTGGACCCATTGGTGAACCCGGTGAACGTGGATCCCCTGGACCTGAGGGACTTCCAGGCTAGTTGGATAGGGGATATATAAGATATTAAGGTATTCAACGTGCTCATCTTCCACTTTTCCTCCCCTTTAGGACCCAAAGGAGTGATGGGACCACGTGGGCCAGTTGGTTTACCTGGACCTGAAGGACCTGTTGGTGAGCCTGGAGATCAAGGGCCCCCAGGTCCAGAAGGGCCCAAGGGCAGGCCTGGGCCGCGTGGACCTCCAGGACCCATGGGTGTGTTATTCAAGTATTACTTTTGTATATCCTAAAAGCCTTCTGGATCATCAACTTTTCCCAATCAATTTTAGGACCACAAGGAGAACAAGGTGCTCCTGGAGAACCTGGTCCAGAGGGCGATCCAGGTCCTGACATGATTGGAGTCCCAGGAGAGTCTGGGGATCCTGGTGAACGAGGACCCCCAGGACCAAAGGGTAGTATTGGTCGTCCAGGCCGACGCGGTCCGAAGGGTGAGCCTGGGCCCGATGGAGTTGGTATTCCTGGCGTAAAAGGAGAGCGTGGAGAGCCAGGAGACAAAGGTCTTCCTGGTCCTTCTGGACAGTCTGGTGGAATCGGTGAGAAGGGTGAACGTGGTCCTCCTGGTGAACAAGGTGACCGGGTGAGTCCGATTCATAAAAAATTAACATCCTTTCGTTAAGACTTTTTAACAAGATGAAGTGGGCTTCCTTAGGGTGAAGATGGTGATCAGGGACCACGGGGATCTCCAGGACCACAAGGTCCTGTCGGCTTTGATGGTCGTCGAGGTCCCAAGGGAAGACCGGGTCTTCCTGGACCGAAGGGTGAAAAGGGAGCTCGTGGTGATCCTGGCGACGTTGGTGCAATCATTCAAGGACTTCCTGGTGAAGTCGGTGATGAGGGAGAACGTGGACCCCCAGGCCCACAGGGCTTGAAGGGTGAACAAGGACCTCCCGGCGAAGAGGGACCTCCAGGACCAATAGGAGAGCCTGGACCTCAAGGCGAACGTGGCGATCCAGGACCCAAGGGAGAACGCGGAGAGGTGGGGCCTGATGGACCTTTTGGTTATCCTGGACCGCAAGGTGAGAAGGGTCTTCCAGGTGATCGCGGGCTTGAAGGAGAACAAGGTCCCATAGGGCCCTCTGGCGATCCCGGGTTTGAAGGACCTCCTGGCCGCTGTATTCCCGGTCCTTCCAGCCAGAAAGGTGAACCTGGCCCCGTTGGACCCATGGGACCTACTGGTGAAAAGGGCCTTCCTGGTTAGTGCAGCATGAGGCAGGTCATCTTGCTTTGAACTGAGAGTGATAATGACGCTGAAATTTTGATTGACAGGTCTTCCCGGCAAGGTTGGAAAGCAGGGTCCTCCTGGTATTCCTGGACGTGGAATTCCCGGTCCACCTGGAGACCGTGGTGATATTGGTTTTCCTGGTCCTGATGGTATGTTGGACGGAATTTATTGACTTACCCATAATTTCTATCGACTATAATGATCTTGATAATTCGGAACTTTTTACAGGTCCTAAAGGTGAAAAGGGCGATAAAGGCGAACCTGGAGAATCTGGTTTACGTGGCCCAAAGGGTCGACGAGGTCCAGCAGGCCCAAGAGGTGATCGTGGAGACCCGGGTCCCAATGGTATGGATGGACGTCCGGGTGAGCCGGGAGATTCTGGGCCAGATGGTGCTCCCGGTGCCGATGGAGAACCTGGACGTCGTGGAATCGACGGACGCCCGGGAAAGAAGGGTGTCAAAGGTCTTCCTGGCCTCCGTGGTGATCCCGGGGATATGGGTCCTGTTGGTGATGAAGGGCCTATGGGTCCGATGGGACCACCTGGAGAGGATGTAGATGGCATAGCAGGTCTCAAGGGTGATAAGGGTGAGCCCGGAAGACAAGGACCTAGGGGACTGGTTGGAGAACAAGGTCCACCTGGACTCGATGGGCTCAAGGGAGAACGAGGCATAACTGGTGAACCGGGAGTTCAACCCGGGACCAATGGGAGAAAAGGGCAATATGGGACCCAAGGGGTCCCGTGGCGAGACTGGATATCAAGGTCCAGTTGGTGACCGCGGTCCCACTGGACCTCCTGGTCCTCCTGGACCCACTGGACAAGTGCTGGCAAGCACCTATCTCTTCACTCGCCACTTCCAAGATCCCAGCGCTCCTATAGAATGTCCGGCTGGGTCTCAGCGCATCAGTGAGGGTTTCAGTTTTGTTATGGCTAATGGAAATGGTGAACTTACCACTATGGATCTTGGTACGTCTATAATTAATTTGTTGATTCATTTCACTGCCTGAAGCTCGAGGGTTAATTAAATTCCTTTCTACCAACAGGTTCTCATAGCTCTTGTCTGCCAATGTTCAGCATCATGCCGTTCTTCCAGTGTCTTCGCGATGGAAGTTGTCAATTGGGAGTGAGAGCTGATAGGTCCTATTGGCTGGCTACAACGGAGCCGCTACCAATGATGCCACTGGACGTGAGTGCTGTACGTCAGAGGGTGGCTCGTTGTGTTATCTGCGAAGCTCCAACACAGGCCTATGCCTTCCACAGCCAGACAAGCAATCTGGATGATGTGCATTGTCCGGAGAACTGGATTGAAATCTGGAATGGATTCAGTTTCTTCATGGTGAGACCCAGTTTTCTCTGAATTCAAAAGCGCTAAGGACAACCAATTTGGATCAAGCTTCGCAAGGTTACTGAAGGACTAAATTGTTGGCAATAATGGATACAAGAGATGTGACTAGCCTTACTTAGTAGTTTAGAGCTTAAGTATTAGGTTTTGAAGGATAATGTGACAGCTGACGCTTAATTGTCGGTTGAAACGATGATTTGTAGCACACAGCCGGTCATGGAGGTGGTGGTCAGCAGTTGTCCTCGCCAGGCAGTTGCCTGGAGCACTTCCGTTATGCTCCACTGTTGGAATGCAACAACGGAATGAGTCTGTGCAACTACTGGAGTGACGCGAAGGCCTATTACCTGCGCCATGTCCAGAACACCACGTCCTTCCAGAAGCCTCAGGGCCAATACATGCGCGAGATCACCTATGGGGACCGAGGTGTTCTGCGCGAGATCAGTCGATGTCGAGTGTGCATGCGACAGCGCTATGAGTACTTCCGACGACGATAAAAGGGACATCAACTCGCCCATCACTTCACAATGCCTCATCCCCTCCTGTTTCCTTGCTCTCCTCCAACTTCTCCCCCTTCAACCCTTCTCTTCTATCCGCTCCTCTCCTCCTTAGCGAATATATATTTTTGTTCCTTGATGTGAAATTAGGCATTCTTCTGCATGTGAAGTGGGTGTTGGACATCTCGCCCTTCCCACCTAGTCAATTTTCTCTATTTTTAAACGTAGACCTCCGTTCCAATAGTATGATTTTCTTACATGCTTTTTCAATCCTTCTTGATCTTACTAATGCACCCACTCCCACTCCAAATCCTCTTATGTTCTTCAATGTCTCTGTGATTATAAAATGTGTTGTTGATAGTGACTTTGATGCAATAAAACCCTAGTAATATCTCTGTTAACACCACGTTTTCAAAAAATTGTAGCAGTGTTGGCCTTGTGAGATCAGAACTGGGATGCTTGACCTGTGCTAGACAAAGTTCGCGCAAACTCGACCCAAGGCAGCTTCAAACAGATTCGTTTTGGGCTGTAAAGGGCGGCCTGGTTAAAGATAACTGTAAAGATAAATGGTAAGGGTTCACACTAAATGCAATAACAGTTTACTAAAATCAGCAAGATAGAAAGTGTCAATATAAAAGGCGAATCAAACAGCGTTTTGTACAGGCCAAGTGGTACGTGCACCAAACCGGTTATACAGCATTTTGAAAAACGTAACAGGGGGATGAAAGACGTATAAAAGTGCATCATTACAGGTTACAGAATTTCGCATCACCAAAAACTTGGTCGACTTCAAGTCACTCTTCTCCAGCCACGAAGCTTTCTTCCTTATTTTTTGCTAAAAAGTAGGGGACCATACACTACTACGACAACTATTTGACTAAATGCATCTATTAGGAAACCTCATCGTTCACTGTTGACCAAAAATAAGTTTAGGTTATCCACAAAGCTACCATTTCTATCGATAAAGAGGCCACTTTTAATCACAACAGCCACTATAATTACAAAAATACACCAAAAACTAGGCACAATG